TTCTCGGTCGTAGCTTCGATATCGAGACACCCTGTATAATGGAGCTCAGTCTTCCCGACAAGTATAAATCTCCTCGATCGGGAGACTGCGGAGACAAATACTGTTGTCAGTGGACGACAAGCCGTTTACAAGCAGGGGAAACGAACGTTGGTAGCCTCGGTACCGAGGCGAGATAGCCGCTCTTTTGCGAGACGGGGATCATTTGTCGCGGCGATCTTTCTAACGCTGTCAAACGCTCTCCTTCACGCTCGCCTGGAGCTCTTTCACCGTGTTTCACGCGCCGTTCCACGCCTATGATTTAACACCACGTGCAACTTCGCGACCGATCTCCTTCGGCTTGTAATGGGCTTTTGTTCTTGCCCTCGAACGTTGTGTTCGCCGTCGTAGGAAGTCGAGTTTTCACGTCTCTCTCGCGGATAAGCGTTCGACCAGCGTTGCGTTCGAGAGGCGCAGAGTTTACGAGGAGGTATTTCGCTGGACGTGTTCCAAGTTCTTGGAGAGGGAGAGAGGACGTATTGTATGTAGATGCTTGTTTCTCCGAGACTTCGCGAAATTTCGAAGTGGAAGGAAGAGAAGGGCAAAAGATATATCGATGCATTAATTTCAAATTACATTATTAGTATCTGTATCTTTACTCCTATTTTTTTTGTGATTGTTGGTGTGTGTATTGATGATATTTGTAGTGTGCATACATGTATGTGTATCTATATGCACGCACACGCACGCGCACGCACACACACACACACACACACACACACACACACACACACACACACACACACTGTAGACACATATTTATGATATTTATAGTGAGTATATAAGTATACACTGTAGACACATATTTATGATATTTATAGTGCATATGTACACACAGACACACAGACACACACACGCGCGCGCGCAGTGTACACACATATTGTAGGTAATTAATTTAAAATTATATTATTAGTGAATAGCATATGAATGAATGCATGTATGTAAATTAAAATCAATTCACATACAATGTGAATCAAGATCAAGCTAATATTCCAATTCCAAAATAATCATTTACAATTTCCAATTACACTCTTTCTAAATTTAAGTCAGATTAAAAATAAAAAAAGAAAATCAAGTCAAAAATGAATTTTTCAAAAATAAAATGTAAAAACAGGAAGGAACAGAATTGATCTCGAGAGAACAGAGTCTAATTGTAAGCATAGTGTGCATCTAACACGTGGCTGGAAGGGGTCGATCTCTTGGTTTAATCGACGCAGCGCGCAGAATGGCTGATTTCTCATCGCGCGACAATGAACCGTAAAATCGGGCTTTTACATTAGAATGAGCCCACATGGGACACAAGCCAGCCCTCGCGTTCCGCGCGCGGCGTAATGTCCTACAATGACACAATTCACGGTCGCGGGCCCGATGTGACAATACGCGCTTGTTTGCGGTGGCACAATGAACAAACCGCCGATTCAACCACCACACACAGCTACGTGAGAAAATATTTTGGAACCTGTTAGTTAGTGTCTCGCGAGCATCGCGATTTTCCGACGGAGTTTCAAACGACGATGGATCTGGATCAAGGATGTACATTTACGAAAGTACTCGAACGCCCGTACGCATGATCTCGTCCTTGTTGCAGAATAGAACATTTTGTAGTTTTGTTAATATCGTAATGAAACTCGATTATTATGATCATATTAATCAACTTTGGAGTGAGTCTAGAAATTTATATAAAAGGTACAAGATGTTCGATATAAGTATGGTTATCCACGAAAGTATTTGAAGAATAATTGTACTAATAATATATTAATATATTAATGTTTGACATTTGAAATTTCATTAACAAACAATCGCCTGTCAGTACAGTGTTAACAATTTCAAAATGTTTTATACAAAGCACATAACATACACGTGAAAAATTTGTCCACGTGATGTCCAAACATTTTCACAAAACCACTATAATAAAAATTACTACTGTAATAAAAATTATCGTCACCGTACAAACATTGAGTCATCAAACAAAATCATACGATCTTCCAACCCTCTCACTCTACTCTCAACCCTCGCGTGTTTTACATTCTACGAATCAGGATAAACTTGAAACGTGACCAGGTTACCCAACGAAAAGCAGGCTAGAGAGTGGTTATGGTTTTCGTAATGGAATCTGGACGGAACCGGTGCACCGATCGCGGCGCGTGTATCTTCTTCGTTCATTCATCGAGAAACCAGTTTTCGTCGCGGTGGTCCAACAGATCGCGAGTCGGATAAATAAGCGCTCGTTACCACGAGGTGACGCGTCTCAACGTTGTCGCCCGAGCCACCAGGAAACCTCCGTGAAACTGTAATAACATCGTGGTCCCTGGTCTGAGATTGAATGAGAATAATCTTTCTTTTTCTCTCTTTTCTTCGGTTTAACGAATTAAAAGAAAAAGTGAAAGAGAATCACGATGTAACAATATGTAGAAATATTGTGGTTTGGGTTTGGGATTAACCCCTAGATTTTAATGTGTGCCATTTCAGGTTCATTATTGGACACTGTAGTATTTGTGTAAATTAATAATAGTATTATAGCAAAAATTAGAAAGCGTATTGATTATTAGTAATATATTATTATTGTTACTAATCTGTTAGTAATGATTAGCGACAGTAATAATATAATTATATAATTAATTATTTATAGTAATATAATTATATAGATATAATAATAGTAGTAGTATTATTGATAACGATATTATTAGAAAAGAAGATATTCTGAAGGATATTAATATCATTCACTGCTTTAACTATTATAATAATAATATATATAATATATTATAATTCATGTATTATAGTGTTATAATTATATAATATATTATATTATATACAACAATTAATATATATGATAATATATATTACTAAATTATAATTATAATATGTTGTTACATATTATTATTGATAAATAATGATTATCATTAATGTCTAAAATAATATTTGTTCGATATTAAATAATTAAATAACCAGTACATAATTATCATTGAGATTAGAAACTAGCTGATATTATCACTATATATAAAGTTTTATTTAATTTTTCGAAATCTTCTTTCCTCAATATTTTTATATTCATCTTTTCATATGTTTCATATGTTGTTCGTTACGTTTTAATATATTTTATAGTGCGTACATGGCATGTTATTCGATATATCACGTTCTTTATCTTTTAATAATGTATTTACGTTGTGTCAAAATGCAATCGAGTTCGATTGTTGTCAAAAGTATATTATATATTCAAAGAAAGATCAGTCGAATCACGGTGAGCTCTTCAACGAGAGTAGAAACGTAACGTCATGCTGTAATATCTGGGACACCGAAAACGCCGATCGGTATGAATCGTCCGATTTGCATAGAATCGACAGACAGCGTTTGTATCGGTCACACCGCCACGAATTACGAGCAACGAAACACGACCGACTCAGGGAGTGGAACATTAAACAGACGTGTTCACGACACGGTTTTGTCATTTGTCGTCTCGTGATCTCTGAACGCAGAAGAATGTTTCTGATTCTTTTTCACTTTGTATTCCGTCGCTCGTGTTCTCTGCTTTGATCGATGGTGATATTTACAGCAGACAAAATCGGCCCCCCGAATATATAATTAGATGCTGATTGATCTGGACCATTTTTATCACCTTTAAGTTTCCAAATTTTCAATTATGATATTTTGCTAACTTACTAAGAATATTTTACTATTCTGAGTATATGTAATTAGAAGAAAGAAACACCATAATAATAATTATATTAATTATATTAATAATATATTCTATTCTATTCTATTAAAATATATATAATATATTATATTATATAAATTATTATAATAACATATAATGTTAATTATTAATTGTGTACATTAATATATTAAATTTTCTTCTAATATTTTCTAAAAATTCCTGGTTTCTCTAAGGAAACAGTAAAATATCTTATAACCATTTAGTTTTGACATCTTCATTTCGACGTAGTTTCGAACAAGTTATTAAACCATTCCGTAGAATCAACGGTATATATTTATCATTTTCTATCATTTTTGCTTTAAAATTTAAAAATCCAGTTAATACCACTGGAGCAATCGTAAGAAGGTACTCATTAACATAAAATTCGAATATATATCTAACCTTTAATTTTCCTTGAAACACGCTCGATTTCTTCGTAGCCCAGTCACGTACGTTTCACACGCAAGTTATAACAAATTGCCAACCATTCACTGCGTCGAACAATCACCGAAGGAAAGATGCGGAGGTTAAAGAGATGCCGAGGAAACTCCGAGGACTCATGAAAAATCCGTCATGTTTCGCCGTCTAATTACACGTTCGGTTGGAACAAACGTTTATATACGTCGATTCGTTTCCTCCCATTGCGTCTTTCATTTTTTCTCAATTTCCACCCTGACGGGTCCCCGCTGCAACTAATTACCATCTGTACGTTCAGCCATAAAGCTACAGTGGGCGCAGGACCATGCTCGATTCTTCCCCCCTCCCCTCGATTGAATTTCAAATCAGTCTCAAGCCACTTTGCCAATGAAAAAAAAAAAAAGAAAAAACCAGACGGAAGAAAAAATAAGAGAAAAGAACGGGTGATCCGAAGTGAATGAAACGTCAAGTGAAAAAAAAAGGAGAAGAGAAAAATAAAAACGAACGATATATATATATATATATATATATATATATATATATATATATAGAGAGAGAGAGAGAGAGAGAGAGAGAGAACGAGAAAATGGAGAAGGGAAAGAAAACGGGCGAGTAGTAAGTAGATCGTATCGCGTTCGAGGCAATTATTCTGAAAGTCAGGTGCAATTGCTTGGCTTGCGTACGGGCGAGTTCAGCTACATAGAGCAATCGGTCTCGATCGGGAACATAGGCCTCTGGCACAATATAATCGCGGAGAAAAGTGCAGTTCGTGTAATGGCGATAACGGGGGGAAAGGGGAAGAGGGAGAGAACACGACCGAGAAATCTCGAAAGTCTTCGTCGTTCTAAGTACTTACATGGGAGAATCTTATCAATGGTAGCTGGTACACGGTGGATGGTTGCGAGAGTACATTGTCGATATGGAACGAAGAAGACGCACGGTTTGATTCGAATTTGTCAATGGTGATTCAGCTGAAACAGAACATTGGACATTGTTGAAACGAATATTTCTTTGAGAGGATTATATTCGTTATTGCGTATTGTATCATTATTATTATAGAAAGTTTATTTCTCTGAGAGGATTATTTTCGTTATTGCGTACTGTATCATTATTATTATAGAAAGTTTATTTTTATTCGTTATTATTTATTGTTATTAATAATATATCGTTATTACGATTGTTTAATATGATCTGATACAATTTAATAATGAAAATGATAAAAATGATAATGTCCAAGGAATTATCATGTTGTACGATAAAGGGTTTATTTTTATTTATTAATTTTTATTACAAATGTATCATATCAGATCAAAGAAAAAGAACAAGAATTAGAGTATTGAATTTTCACTAATCAATGACTATCGCACCAATGGTCATTACTATATATAGTTAAGAGGCTAATGTTTATTAACTGGTGGAGAGACTTATAGAAAATTCTATCAGTCAATTCAGAAGCTCAACAGCTGCAAACTCGACATCAGTAGACGTGCATCAGCAAATACATTTTATCTTAATTCGATCTCGCTGATGCCAGATGTAACTGCTGCGGTGTACACAAACATAATCGGAAAACAAGATAAGAAAGTGATCCTATTTAAAAAATGATTTGATATTACATACAGTACGTGCGCGCAGTAATGACCATAATGAATGTATAATGCATTTCAACGTATCCACGCATTATGCATATTATTAACATTATACAATGCAATATGCAAGACCTCAGAACTGATTACGTTGGTTAAAAATACACTCGCTTGTGAATTATGCGTTGTAATTAAATTACGTACTGCGATTTGAGATAGTTTTTTTAATTGAAAGTGTGGCACTCATTGTATTGATTGGAATTATAAATCCTGGAATCAGTACTTTTGATGAAATCAATTATTTTATTCATGCACTTTACATTCATCTTACTAACCTTGTAAATAAATCTCTTTCTCGATATATTGTAATTATTTTATTATTTTATTCATGCACTTTACATTCATTTTACTAACCTTGTAAATAAATCTTTTTCTCAATATATTGTACTATATAGAGGATGTGGCACGTAACTGTTGCCACGATTTTTCAGGCACTTCTGGTTGTGTGACAAAAAATGTTTTGAACAAAAATTAATCAGTTTCTAGTTGGCTACAAAGTACAACATAAAAAATTTCAAAAACTTTTTTTTTCGTAAAAAAATTGATTTCTTTAAATGGCACTGTGTATTTTTGACTTTGAAGGATTGTTGCTTCTGAAAAAACGAATTCAACGACCTGCTGTACTATGACCTTCAGATGTCTTCAGAAATTTAAGTTTAATCAACAGAAACGTTAATATTGAAAATTATTTTGTATCAATCATGTACTCTTGCACACTTTTGCAATGTTATAAAACATTTATGGACACGGGTGGCGTCTCTCTGGATATTTTATAGCGTACATATTTACAGCTCTACATGCATTTCTATTACATTTACCGAGCATGAGCAAGCATATCTACCTTTTCACTATTAGAGTACATGCTTAGTTTTGTACTGACAGATTAAGACTGAATGTCAGAATTGTCTTAGCAGAATGAACGATTGTAACTTGGTAGGATGAAAATCATGTTGATATTAACGTTATGAAAAAATATTAATATAACTTGTACTGTAAAGTCAGACCGTTAAACTGACAAAAGTATCCAAATAATGCGTAATTAATCGTCACAGATACCATTTCTGGTTCAGAGTTGATCCTCACTGGTTCAGAGAACATTTTCATAAAAAATTTACAATGAATAATTTCTGTTGATTAAATCTAAATTTCTAAAGTCAAAGACATCTGAAGGTCATAGTGTAGTAGGTCGTTTAATTCGTTTTTTCAGAAGAATAATCCTGCAAAGTCAAAAATACACGGTGCCATTTAAAAAAGTCAATGTGACCATGATTTTTTTATCGAAAAAGAAAAGTTTTTGGAATTTTTTATATTGTACTTTGTAGCCAATTAGAAACTGATTAATTTTTGTTCAAAACATTTTTTGTCACACAATCAGAAGTGCCTAAAAAATCGTGGCGACAATTACGTACCACATCCTGTATATGTTATAAATATTACTAGTATTGCACTATATACGAATATATTGTACAATATACATATGTTACAAGTATTTTATTTTATTTTACAGAAAATAATTTTTTCGTGAATTGTTATTCTCAAAATATAATCTAATCCTCCGAAGATCTTTAACCTAAAAGATTATCTTTTTCTTTTATGATTATTCCAATTGTCCTAAGACATGGTCTTTCTATTCGAGAAGTTACTCCAATATTTCAGTTATCCTTAGTGCCTTCGTCAAAATTGAATAAATCTCCTACTTATGATATAATATAAAGAAAAAAAAATTTCTTCTTTCTTCATGTTCAAGACTCGATCTGCTGAGATTTCCTACACTATGTACATATGTAGTATTTGGTTGTGTAATAAATTTGTTCACCTCTTTTTGAGGATATACATTATAGTATGCATTATAAAAATTCTAGCGTTAATGCTTATAATTATAAAAAGAAGTAGAAAGAAACCAACGCTATTATATATTTCAAATATAATATAACATAAAATTGAAAATACAATGTACAATATTTAAAATATAGAAAAAAATCATTTATTATGAGATTTATTGAAATATTTATTACTAGCATTGATATGTCAATCATTTCAGTATTCAGAAAGATGTTCCTTATAGATAATAATTGTATAATTCAAAGAGCATAGACATACGCATATGCATATGTAAAAATATTTTAATAAAAAAACGAGACTTTCGAAGTTATTCGATTCGCTTTTAAAAAAATAGTCAATCATATAACACGCATTAATTTAATCACTATTGGTGGAAACGAATTTATTACGCAATCCAATACTCTCTTTCTTCTATAGAAATTCTATAGGACAAACTACATGAGACACATTGTATATATACGGGGGTGGAAGTGATGGCAGGGCTCAGGGTGTACCGGGCGACATAAAAAGATAGGCAACACCGTTGCGTTTTCCTGTTGCTCATTAGCATATCCGATTATGGGCCGCAATGCGCACTGGAACGAGATAATTAGAAAAGATTGCGTCGAGGGGCCGTTTCGTGGTGCGCAAACATTTCGACCGCGTGTATGTGTGTGTGTGTGTGTTCCTCCTCTCCCTTCTGTCTTTCAATTTTATTATTCCCCTTTCTTTCTTTCTTTCTTTTTCTCTTTTTTCTCCTTCTCTGTTTCTTCAACCCTCGAACAAACAACGAGGAAGTGAATTACGATCGACAGACGCGCCTGTCCGCGCCAACGAAAAGAAAACATTTCACTCGTCGTTCTTCACATCGCACGTCCGCGTGCATTTTGACTCAAGTGAGAGATTCAATTTACTCTCTGCCACGTGCGGGCCAACCTCTCGATCCCTCGATCTTGCGTTGATTTTATTGCCGATCGGGATTTCATTGCCGGTGATTTATGAAATTCGATCAACGAAATTCAATGCTCGTACGGATCGATGAAATTGGAAAAATCGCTAGGTTAATGTCTGTATTTCACTCGCGGTTTTTGTTTATGAATTAGTTGCTTGGTTAGAGTTAGAGAACATAAGAAAATGTAAGAAAACTGTAATAAATAAAAATTTTAAAGTGATATAAATTTTCTTAGAAGGAAGACGTAAACATTTTAGAAGAAAAACATAAGAAGCATTATATTCAATTATTAATAGAAAAAATTAACATATCGAAGCGTTGTATCGATTCTTTCTGATAGTAATCATAATTTTCTATTTAGCTTCTTTTTGATAATCAGATTTTTGTACTACACGAAGCAATAATTTAGGATAACAACAGTTATGAAATTTCATTACCCCCCCAGAATCAACGAATATTAAGTTTGAACCCTCGAGATCACAAACTTCAAAGAACAAAGAACGTGTCTGAAGAAGAAGGCCTCCAAGAAAAGATGTACGTAGTAGATGAAAGAAGCTCATCAGTCATTTTCAAAGACGAGGAAAGAATGGGAGACACAGAGTGAAGAATTGACCAGATCTCTCCCTGAAGAATCGCGATGGTATCGAGGTGCGTGGTTTCACGAACGATGCCGCGCATTCCTCGCTGTCCTCCGATTGTTTCCTCTAAAACGACGGAACGAGTAACGAGTGGCTTGCATTAATCATCATTAAACTCTGGCTGGCATCGGTGGTAGTCACTGGCCACGAAATAATGAGACCGTTCTACGTCGTAGATCGTGCGCCCCCTTTAATCTCGATTGGCATCGAGTAACACCGGCACCGGGGCCCACCACAAACACATATTCTCTCTCCTCTTCTTTATCTTTCTTCCCTTTTTCCCCTTTTCGTTTCATTCATTTTTCATTTTCTTTTATTTTCTCCTTTTCCTCTTTCTTTTTCTCTCCCCCTCCCCTCTCGCTGTTTACTTCCCTTTTATGTCGAGTGAAAGACTCTCGCTTAGAGCGAGATTTTATCTGACAATGAGAAACGGAACACACCGTGGCAGAGGGATCCTTCCGAGAGACATCATCAACCGATAATTGTCGCAGATTTTCAATAACTCGAGACCAAGTTGATGAAAGTTTTATTTGTTTTAATGGAGGTATTTAGGTTTGGTTATTTTCCTTTGTAACGAGACGAAATTCTCTTGGGTTCACTGGGAGACATGAGATGAGAAGCAAAACCGTAGGATTGCTCGTAGTTTAATTTTTTAACGGAATAATCGAGGATCAATGACTGTTGCAAAGAGATTCTTTAGAGTAAGAGAGATTCTTTTGTTTCAATGTGGTAATGGAACAATGATGAAACGAAGTATTGTAATATAGATAGTATTGTGATAGACCAGTGACAGACGGAGGCGCAAAAGGGAAATGAAAGTAGTTGTTGAGGAGTCATCAGGGCATCTCTCTTATTTGCGGTTAGCAGCTGTGGTTAGCATTATTATGCAATCAGACGATTAGGAGGCCGTACTA